GGGGTTCGGAGGCAATCACTGGGAGGTCCCCGTCGGAAGGATTGAAAAGGATTTGAGCCCCATTGGGGGGGGGCCGCTGCGCCGGAGGGGCCGCGGATACTCGGCGGGACTAGGCCAAATGAAGCGGGATCAAGCGGGATCAAGCCAAAGTAGACGGGATCAAACCGGATTAAACGGGATCAAACAGGATCAAGCGGGATCAAGCCAAATTAAGCGGGATTCGGCGGGATTAGGCCAAATTACACGGGACCAAGCGGGATCAAGCCGAATTAGACGGGATTGAGCCGGATGAAGCCAGAGTTCGGGCAAGGACAAAGTCCGAATTTGACCCCCCAGGACTGGCATCCGAAGGTAGTTGGAGGGGGGGAGGCTTCTCAGAAGCACCCCTGTTGCTCAGGAAGGCGCGGGCCTCGTCTAGAGATGTAGGGCCCGAACCTTCTGAGAAGAAGCAGCCTCCTTCTCAGAAGCCTTTCCCCCCTCCCTGGAGGCCTCCTAGATTGGGTCAGAGTAGATGGGGTTGGAGGATCGCGCCACATCGGCGATGCGCACTGGCGACACATCGTCGACGTCGGCGACGCATTGGCAACGTCGGCGTAAAGCAAATCGGGCTCCACATCGAGCCGCATCGGCGATGCATTGGCGATGCGGCGCGACCCTCCGACCCCATCTACTCCGACCCCATCTAGAAGGCCTGGACTCCAGCTACCCTCAGTACGTCCAGGGTTCGCTAGGGACCAGGGACTGGTTTACCTTCCAGACAGCCAATACCCTCCGACAACCTCCGACAACCCTCTGGGGAGGGGTCTGGGAGGCCTTTCGGAGGTTCGGGAGCGTTTCGGAAGGGTCTCCGTCGTCCTGGGGAAGAACCGGTCCCCAGCAAACCTTGGGTTTTCTGACCCTTCCCCATTTTTGGACGCCCGGAATGGGTACGGAAAGAATGGGTACAATATGCCCAACAACAAGTCTTGTCCCAAACCAACAGCGGCCGCTGTTGGGCAGCCTTCGTCTCCAATGGACAGCGAATCTTGTTCAAAATGAGCAGGAACTGCTGTTGGGCACTGTACCCATTCTTTCCGTACCAATTTCGCTCGTGCCGACCACTCTGCGCGCCGCCAACGGAGGCCCCTCTGGCCTGGGCCCCGCCCTGGCCCCGCAGGCCTCCCCCGGGGGGGGGGCCGTGCTGGCCACGGCCTTCGGGGCGGGCACGAGGCCGCGGCGGCGAGGGAGGGCCCCGGAGCAGCGAAGGGCGGCAAGCGCCCGAGCCCCATCGGTGCTCGATTCTGAAACTCGAACCTGGAGGAGGAAGAGGAGGAGGAGGAGGAGGAGGAGGAGGAGGACGAGGAGGAAGAGGAGGGGAAGGAGGAGGAGGAGGAGGAGGTGGAGGAGGAGGGGGGGAGTGAGGAAGGGAGGAGGAGGGGGGGAGGGGGGAGAGGAGAGGTGGAGGGAGGAGGAAGGCGAGAAGGTGGAGGAGGAGAGGAGGAGAGGAGGAGGAGGAGGAGGGGGAGGGGGAGGAGGACAAGCTGGGTGCGCTCGCGTCATATCTGACATCCTACCCCTCCCTCCCATCCCTTACCATGGCGCAGATCCCCTCTCTACTCGCACAGTCGGATGTCGAGCAGGGCAATGATCCCGAAAGGGTACGCGATGCAATGTAGAGCACGGCATGGCATGGCGTAGAAGAGCACCGCAAAGCGAATTATCAACCTAGCATTGCATTGCATTGCATGCCGTGGCATGGCACGGGAAATGACGCCAGCGCTGCAGCGGGAGCACGAGTCGAAACGAGCGGAAGCGCGAAAATGAGGCCAGCGCTGCAGCGGGAGCACGATTCGGAACGAGCGGAAGCACGGAAATGAGGCCAGCGCTGCAGCGAGAGCACGATTC